CGGGTGGTAGCAGACGGTGCCTTCTAGCTCTGGACGTCATAAAGAAAACTCTAGAACCGGCCAGACGACGTCAGGCAATCTGCGAGAAAACCTGACATCTTCCATCCATCACCAGCGTCCCATCATTTTTTTTTACCAGCAGCTTATCTCTCACCTCACTTGGTTATTTCCCTTTACTACACGGTTACTTCCCATTTATTGCCGCATTTACTTCCCCTTGCCCTAACACAACCCATCTGCGGCTATCTTAACCCTTTAATGAGGAAACATATTTTTTCTCGTTATTTAAAAATTAATCCGTCAAGTTTCGCCGCACGATACCTTAAAACCCCGAGATTAAAATGAGCGCCATCTGTTTGTTTTACAGGGGAGGTAAGTATAACGTGAGTAGTGTCGAAAGACGCGGGTTCCGTGTAGCTGTTTCCCCTCACACCTCACCTGTGTGGGTTTCTAACGGCTGGCGTCTACATCAACACGCCGTGGTACCTGCTTGACTGAAGAAACATGCAAATATTGACGCACTCTCCCGCGGTCTACCGGTCGGGGGGTATATTACATTTTTTACATTTGCCTGCGCGAGCGCATACGTTGTTTTTTTTTTCCTTCTAGCACGTCGAGGTGCTAGGGGTAAAAAGAAATAGTTTATTGCTTAAAAAATGTCTAAGCACGCTTTGAGGATGATACCTTAGACTTCATTATGGTTTTTGTTTAGCTGTAGAGCTAGCGAAGAATGCGACAGGTTTGAGTTCATAGAAATAGAGTTAGAATAAATCTGGGGTCGGTGTATAATGGTGTTCTTTTACAAACACGGGTTTAGTTAGCGGTAGGTGGTAGCTTGTACATTTTTAGCCTGTTTGAGTCCCAAAAAAATATGTTTGAATGTTTTGGGATTTCATAAAAGAAAATACGATTTATGTAGAGTTCAGTAAATCTGAGTAGTATATTAGGTCCCTTTTGGGTCGCATGGGTGAAGGAGCCATGGGTGAGCAGGAGCAGGAGCAGGAGCAGGATGCGGAACAAAGGATATATAGTAAAATACTCACCCACCTGGCGGAGGGTGAAGGAGCCGGCGGGACAATGAGATATAGTAAAATACTCACCCACCGGGGTGAGGGTGGGTGAGGGTGAAGGAGCAGGCGCAGGGTGAAGGAGCCGCAGGCGCAATGACATATAGTAAAATACTCACCCACCTGGGTGAGCAGGTGGGTGAGGGTGAAGGAGCCGCAGGCGCAAAGGCATATAGTAAAATACTCACCCACCCTAGGGTGGGTGAGCAGGTGGGGGAGTAGGTCAGTAGGTCACCACCGGTGACCTTGTGACGTAATTAGTAACATTATGACGTAATCATTGACCTAGTTACGTAATTTTAATGCGTTTTTTAATTAGTTTTAATGAGTTTTTAAAATTTTAATTAATTTTTGACCTAGTTACGTAATTTTAATGTATTTTTTAATTAGTTTTAATGAGTTTTTAAATTTTTAATTAATTTTTATTATCGAGTTACGTAATTTAATTACTTTGATTGTATTTTTATTTTGTTTAATTTGTTTGTTTACGTGTTGTTTAATTTAATTACTTTGTTTATATTGTGTAATTTTTATTAACGAGTTACGTAATTTGATTATTTGTTTACTTTTTAATTATTTTTATTTTGTTTATTTTTAATTTTATTTTATTTTATAATTAGTTTGAAATTTAATTTAATTAATTTGATTTTAATTACTTTTGTTTATTTATTTATTTGATATATTTCTTTTTCTTTGTTGTTTAATTTGTTGGTTTGATTATTTGATTGTATGTATGTTTAATAGTAAACGGATAGGGGTGTTGGTGGATGAGAGGGGGAGTAATGATGGGGTTTGAGGGTAGGGGTGCGTTAGCGTGTACTTTGTGAATAACATCCATTAACCAGACACGTAACACCTGTTACGTATCGACCGCCCGCGAACTTTTCCGGGCTGCGTGTTTTTTAATGGGAATGTATTGATCGCACCCACTGGGCCATCACAGCATGATGTCCCACCTAATTAAATTTTTGTTATGCTTCACCGAGTTTCCCCCGCTCGGTTGACAGGTTATGGTAATTTACGACGTACATTAAGTGGCTTTCCGCGAAGTACGTAGGTCATTATGCAACAGCTGTGTAATATCGATCGCATCCACTGACCATCACACCTAATTAAATTGGTCACGCATCGTAAGTGTAGCGACATCGGTAACTATTCGCTTATAGCGAGGTCAGCGAAAACCGATCGATTTGTCAGCTCCGTGAAGCCCTTAGGTAACAGCTGGTGCTGTAATTAGTCACGGCTCTCGGATTTTTTCATTAGATTACAGCTGTTCATGAACTATGTTCACATATCGTACGCCCGGTCATTCTTTGATCAAATTAAAAATGTTTGTTTCCACATGTCCTACGAACCGTCCCTTGCTATGTATGAAAGATTAATGGTTGTAACTATTCGCTTATAGCGAGGGTCAACGAAAACAAAATATATTTAAGGGTCGGAATTTTCTTTCAACCACCGTTAAATCAGGTTTTGAGACGAAACGAAGTCTCGGTAGGTTCGTGCTTTTTAATGGGCGACAGGGGCGACTTAGTGCGTTGGTACGTAAGGTATGCGGGGGTAGACATGTTTTTTACAAGTCTGGAAAAGTAATTAAGTTTTTTATGACCGTTCCGATTTTCTTTTGATCTGACCACCATTTGACCACCCTGAGCCAGATAAATTTAACAAATGTTCAATACATAGTCGCTTATAGTAACATGGGTGAGGGGTGTAAGCAGGCGGGTGACGGTGTGAACAGGTGGGTGAAGGGGGAAATATTAACAAATGTTCAATACATACTCGCTTATAGTAACATGGGTGAGGGGTGTAAGCAGACGGGTGACGGTGTGAACAGGTGGGTGAAGGGTGAAAGGTGGGTGAAGGTGGAGAAGGTGGGTGAAGGGGGGAACACGAGTAGGAGTAAAGGATATATAGTAAAAGACTCTACCACCTGAGTGAGGTGGGTGAGGAGGCGGATTTTAATTTTAATTTTTTATTTTATTTTTTCAGCATCTGTTAACTTTAAGGTTCTATAACTCTATATATTTAAATACATTTTTTGATTCAAACGAGTTTACTTTTCCTAATGTAAGTACAGGTAAAGAGGGATTTCCTATAGATCTGTAATGAAGTAGGCCTTGTTGACTATGACTGGTTGTCCAGGTGTTGACATGATACACTTTTTTGAGATACACGTACACACACACACACACACACACACACACACACACACACACACACGCGCGCGCGCGAAATTCATACTAGGTCGGTAAAGGCGGAGAGAACTTATAGGTATACATTATCATGGCGACAACAAAAGCGATCCTTATTTTATTAACATGAAAGCGTGTTTTCCAAAAAGTGTCACCAGGCCGTTGCCATTTTCACAGCGGGGTTTATTTTAAGTGCACCTTGTGCACGTTTGTTTACATTTTAAAAGACGTATCGCGTGTCTTCCCCACATGTCTTCCCTAATAGAGAAACGAGAGGAAAGACAACTGTTCTAAAATTAGAACAGACTTGTTTACAGCCACGAGTATCGTCCCTTGTGAAAAAAATTGCGCGTCAGAATCCTTAACTAAACAGTCAATTTCTTTAACAAGTTAAAAATAATTTAGGAAGACAAGGGTTAACAACATTAGACGCCACCATTTTTGTTTCATGTGACGACAAGGCACAATACACTTTTGTAGTTTATGTCTCAAGTAGAGGGGTGGGATATTTTTTCTTTGTAAGAGTCTTGTAAACAATGGGTAGAGGAGGCAATTACTAAGTAAGAGGGGAGAGAACGTGACTTGCATCGCGATATTTGAAAACATGGCGATGTTTAACCTCAAGCAGATTACCTTACCATGTTCGCTTTAGTATTACAGTTTTCATCAAACTTCTTTTTGACTTAAACTTCTTTAATTTTTAAGAAAGTTTACTTATACATAAGACGTTATGTCTAATTACAATTTTTTATTTTCACCACTCAATGTATTTTCTTTTTCTATATCTTACATTGTCATCTTAATTTTTGATCACCTTAGTAAAAATTTGCTTAAGATTATAAACTTCGAGTTTTAAAAAACAACAACGTTATAGTATATGTCATTGCGCCTGCGGCTCCTTCACCCTGCGCCTGCTCCTTCACCCTCACCCACCCTCACCCCGGTGGGTGAGTATTTTACTATATCTCATTGTCCCGCCGGCTCCTTCACCCTCCGCCAGGTGGGTGAGTATTTTACTATATATCCTTTGTTCCGCATCCTGCTCCTGCTCCTGCTCCTGCTCACCCATGGCTCCTTCACCCATGCGACCCAAAAGGGACCTAATATACTACTAATCTGTGAATCAATTGTTTTAGTTATTTCAATAATTGGAAAGTGACCGTTTTAATCCTCTTCGCTCTTAATTGTAGTTTCGGACCAATAACAAACTACAAGGCAGCAGTTGTTTGATTTTGAGAGTTCAAACTCGAGACTTTTGGGTTTAGCAACTATGAGCTTTACCGACTCGACCACGCCAATCCCTACTATTTATTAATATACCAATACTAAATCATAAACACGTTTTGGTTAGTCCTATAGTATCCCGATTTTAGGCAACGTTGTCCTTAAGGGGAACAAGCTAGTGTGCAACGTGTATTTTGTGTGCGCTGTGTTCTAAATGTCTTATACAAGGATATTTCTATACTACAAAACTACTGCGCGACCGCACAACCGCGCAGCTTGGAGGGAAGATAGGTTGTAGGACTGTGTTGTTAAATGCCATTACTAGTATTTCTGTTTAACTTGGGTTTTTTTTTTTTTTCTGTTTAACTTGTTTTTTTGTTTTTTTTTTGTAAAAGACATTGTTTTATTATTTATAAATATAAAAATCAAATTTATTCACATTCAAATACTTTCAAACAGCATTCAACTTCCTTTACATAACCCTCTCCATCTTGCATACTGCAAATAATGAAAGTATTGAACACAATCTGTAAAATCCCACTGCAGCTATAAAGGTATGACTGATAAAAACTTAATGTAACAAATTTACATCATACCACCCATGCCCCCCATTCCTCCCATGCCACCACCCATACCTCCCATCTCTTTTTCTTCTTTGGGCAAGTCTACAACAACAGCTTCTGCAGTGGTAAGCAGTGAGGCAACACCAGAGGCATCCACAAGTGCAGTCCTAACAACCTTTGTTGGATCAATGATTCCTTGTTCAATGAGATTAACGTATACATTATTTAAAGCGTCATATCCGATATCGCCAGCAGAGTTGAGAACCTTTTCAACAACCACATGAGCATCGACACCAGAATTCTGGGCAATCTGCAGAGCAGGAACTCTTAGTGCCTTCCTCACAATGTTTACACCAGTAATTTGATCCTCGTTTTCTGTTTTTACAGAATCTAAGATTGATATACACCTGAGCAAAGCAGTGCCACCACCAGGGACAATACCCTCTTCAACAGCAGCTCTGGTAGCATTTAAAGCATCATTGATTCTGTCTTTCTTCTCATTCACTTCCACTTCACTTGTTCCTCCGATCTTTAAAACTGCAACTCCATTTGAAAGTTTGGCTAATCTCTCACTGAACTTTTCTTTCTCGTAATCAGAAGTACTAATTTCTATTTCATCCTTGATCTGAGCAATACGTTTATCTATTTCTGTTTTATTACCCTTACCCTTCATCAACAATGTGTCATCTTTAGTTACTGACACTTCTCCGACACTACCAAAATCTTGCATTTGAACATCTTCCAATTTGTACAGATTTCATCATCTCCAAAAACCACACCACCAGTGGCAATAGCCATATCCTGCAGTGTGTTTTTTCTGTTGTCCCCAAATCCGGGTGCTTTAACAGCACATACCTGAAGTCCCACTTTAATTCTGTTTAAAACCAATGTGCTAAGAGCTTCTCCATCAACATCCTCAGCCACAATAAGCAATGGTTTACGAGCTTGATTGGCTAGTTCCAATGCTGGAATAATTGACTGAATACTTGAGATCTTTTTTTCACTAAGTAGCACCAGTGCATCTTGGAATTCACATTTGGCACCCTTAGCAGTGTTCATAAAATAAGGAGAAATGTAGCCTCTGTCAAACTTCATGCCCTCAATGGTTTCTAGTTCATCCTTGAGTGTCTTTCCATCCTTGACTGTAATAACACAATCCCTTCCAACTTTCTTCATTGCACTGGAAATTAAATCACCTATTGACTTGTCACCATTCGCAGATATTGTGGCCACCTGTGCAATTTCCTCTGGTGTCGTTACTGGCCTTGACATTTTTTTCAAATGCTCAACAACAGCATCAACAGCCAACATTACACCTCTTCTAATCTCAACAGGATTTGCACCTCTGCTAATTCTTTCAAAACCTTCCTTTGCAATGGCCCTTGCAAGTACAGTGGCTGTTGTGGTACCATCACCTGCTTCCTCATTGGTGTTGTTGGCAACATCTTGTACCAGTTTGGCACCAATATTTTGAAACTTGTCCTTCAGATCAATTCAATTCTGTTTAACTTGTTTTTTTTTTTTTTTTTTTTTTTTTTTTTTTTTTTTTTTTTTTATAATACTTTTATTTGCAATTAAAACAAGTACATAAACATCAAATTCTTTACATAATTTCTAACATCAAATGAACGTGAACGGTTTTTCAAATGTATATAATAAATATTTACATGCTGTCGTGTATGTAACTTTTTTTTTGTTTAAGTCTAAAACAATTACATGTCATCTCATTTGGACTAATAATATGGCACGTGAATGTTTAGAATTAAAGACTATTATAATTTGTTTTACTTACAATTTTTGACTTAGGAGTAGCTTACGCGCATTTATACAATTATATAGTGTATAAAAAATTAACCAAGTAGTCTGTGTTATAGTACGATTTCAAGTTTTTACTTTAAAAAATAGTATTTAACTCTTTTACTATTTGTTCCTTAAATATTTTAGTTTTTTTCCTCTCTAGAAAAAGTGGAAAAACAAAGTTACCTCCCTGTTTTTGTACTTGTACGTGTAAACGTGTTGGTAAAAACAGTAGATTGTAGGTCGTAGGTGAAACCTGTCAGTCGATGTGTGGGTTACAGCCCTTGCGTGGGTTACAGCCCTTGCGTGGGAGTAACAGAACTTGTGGCATCGTGTTAACTTGGTCCCATTATGTGAAGGAAAAAACGCAACAACAAAAGAAAATAAACAAGAGAAGAAAAAAAACAAGAAAAAAATGAAAAAAAAAAACAAGACATTCTTCGTTAGTTTGTCACTTGATGTATTTGTTTTCTTGACAAATGATTTTTTTTTAACATCAAGATGTACTGTAGAAATTAGCAATGGCATGATCATTACGAATTATTTGTAAGCTGTTTGTACGTTACGTGGTGTGGTACACAATCACTAGGAATGGTTTGTAAGCTTTTTCAAGACTATGCTACATAGTATAGGTTTAGTGAATCACTAGGAATTGTTTGTAAGTTGTTTCTACGTTACGTGGTATATGTTTAGTGATAGAATCGCATGGATACTATGTCTAGGCACTCACTTATACTTATGTGTGTATCACCCGCGGTGTGGTGTAGTAACAGACACACACACACACACACACACACACACACACGAGATAAGTGTGCCTATTCTACCCTGTGTCTCACACTTGTATTTACATGGTGTGTTTGTAACTACACCAGCAACTTGTAATCGTTTCTAAGCTAGCCCGTGTCTCATAACTGTATTTGTAAGTTATATGTGTGGTAACACCATCACCATGTAAAGGCTTCTAAGCTACTCTCTGTATTGTAGTGCCTGGTAATGTTGCAGTGTCTCCTACTTGTGTCTACGTGTTGTTGATGTTTTGGTACAATCTCTTTGTTACGTTGTCTATTCAAAGTCTCACATATGTATCTACGTGGTGTTGGTGTAGTGACACCATCACTATGTAATCGTTTCTAAGCTATTCTCTGTATTGTAGTGCCTGGTAATGTTGCAGTGTCTCCTACTTGTGTCTACGTGTTGTTGATGTTTTGGTACAATCTCTTTGTTACGTTGTCTATTCAAAGTCTCACATATGTATCTACGTGGTGTTGGTGTAGTGACACCATCACTATGTAATCGTTTCTAAGCTATTCTCTGTATTGTAGTGCCTGGTAATGGTGCAGTGTCTCCTACTTGTGTCTGCGTGTTGTGGATGATGTGGTACAATCTCTTTGTTACGTTGTCTATTCAAAGTCTCACACATGTATCTAACTTGTGTTGATGTAGTGACACCATCACTATGTAATCGTTTCTAAGCTACACCCTGTATTGTATTACATATTTGGGTTGCAGTCTCATTCTCGTATATATTTGGTATAAGTGTAGTGAACTCTCCCTAAGTTCATTATTTTTAATCTTGCCAGTGTCTCACATTTGTATTTACGCGGTGTGGTTGTAGAGACGCCATCACCATGTAACTATATGTAACTATACCCGTCCGTTTCACACACTTGTATTTCAGTGGTGTGGATAAAGTGACATCATTTTGCTATGGTGTCTATTCAAGGTCTCTTACTGATATTTACATCGTGTCGGTCTAGTGACACGTGTATTTTTTCCAGATTTTTCTCTCCGGGGGGGGGGGGGGGGGGGGGGAGGTGCGGACTTGTGAATGTATATGTTTTCTAAACAAAGTCCATTTACGAGGGGCGGGGGGGGGGGCATCTAACCTGTGTCTCACACGTGTATTTGTGTTATATATGTAGTGACACAATCACCATGTAATTGTTTTTATGTCAGCCCATGTCTCACGCTTTTGTTTCACCTGGGTAAAGTGCGAGCTGTGACAGACAGACAGGCTTGTAGAGCTGTCTATCAAGCAGCACGCCATCACTTGCAGGTAACTGTTCTAAAACCTCTAGGACGTTCGCCTGATTCACCCAACGTGACTCAGCCGGTAAATGCGCATTCTAATATTGACTCTTAAAGTACAAGTCTAAAGATACCGTTTCAGACTTCAGGTTTTTTTAAAAAGCAGGTGAAGTAGAGTTCAATTGTTTTCGTTATTTTGAAAAGATATTGTACGTCCAGCTATCTTTACTTTCATTTAATCAGAGCTGGGTAAATACAGAGAAGATATTACTCCACCCCAAGATTAGAAACCGAAATTTTCGCTTCGGCAGTGCTCGAAGTTTATTCTATTATAGCTGGCGCTTTGAATCTGGTTTACTATATTATTTGTTGTATTTGTTATTTTTAAATAAATTTTATATTGTTTAATCGTTGCATTGATTCAAAAGTTATTTTCGGACAGTTAGCTGTCTTCTAGGATACATGTTCACTAGTTTCATAATGTGTTCTAATTACTAATTATCTCTCGCTAATTGCTTTAAAAACTCCCCATTCGCTCTTTGTTTTCAAAATCAATAACCTACCCACACCTCACCGAAGCTAATTACAATCATCATTAACGGAACCATCTCCCTTGTTCAGAAAAACTCACCTTGACGATTCCAGAAACTGGAGGTGTGTCTGCGATCACAGGAATGTTTTTTTTTTCTTCCTGGTTTCTTCCTAATCAACTCGGTTATCTGACCGACACCCACGCTTTCATCTTTTTTTTCCTCATCCTAAGACTCGACTTAATCCTGTGATAATTCTCTCCAGTGCTCTGATCTGTATTAGATTGGACAGAAATAGAATATTAAAAGCTGTCGTTTTTCAATTCCATTACCGCGTTTAATGAATATTTAAGTAGTTTATTAGAGCAAGATGGAGATAAAAATCAATAGGAATGAAAGGTGTATTTGGAGAAAACTAAAATGTAGAGTAGCCGAATAAGTTCAATATAATGTGTGTTATTGGGGAATTTTGAATCGCAACTACTCCACTACCACTATCTGACCACGTCATTTACCAACTACAGATTTAACCACTAATCACAAATTACCTCTTCACTCACCATCAGATGCCCCCACAGTGTCATTAACGTTACCACGGGACATTTAGTAATCTCGCCTCTAGCCACTGGCTACTAACCACTCGCCACTAACAATTCGCCACTATCTACTCACCCTATCCACTCGCCACTAACCACTTGTCTCTAGCTATTCGCCACTAACCACTCGCCACTAACAATTCGCCACTATCCACTCACCCTATCCACTCGCCACTAACCACTTGTCTCTAGCTATTCGCCACTAACCACTCGCCACTAACAATTCGCCACTATCCACTCACCCTATCCACTCGCCACTATCCACTCGCCACTATCCACTCACCACTCGCCGCTAACCACTCGCCACTAAACACTCACCACTCACCACTCGCAACTAACCACTCACCACTAAACACTCGCCACTAGCCACTCGCCACTAACCACTCGCCACTAACCACTCACCACTTGCCGCTATCCACTAATCACTATCCACTATCCACTCACCATTATCCACTCGCCACTATCCACTCACCATTATCCACTCACCACTATCCACTTGCCACTGTCCACTAACCACTATCCACTCACCACTAACCACTCGCTGACCGCACCACGAACCACATCCATTGAACTAGCCACAGGCCCTAATTATCTAATTAATTACCAGACTTAACTCGCCTCCAGCCAATGACCTCCCAGCACGCTATGCATCGACCTCCCGATTAGCCATCACTGACCATCACGGCTATCTTAACACTGACCATCACATCTTAACACTGACCATCACATCTTAACACTGACAATCACATCTTAACACTGACCATCACATCTTAACACTGACCATCACGGCTATCTTAACACTGACCATCACATCTTAACACTGACCATCACGGCTATCTTAACACTGACCATCACATCTTAACACTGACCATCACATCTTAACACTGACCATCACGGCTATCTTAACACTGACCATCACATCTTAACACTGACCATCACATCTTAACACTGACCATCACGGCTATCTTAACACTGACCATCACATCTTAACACTGACCATCACATCTTAACACTGACCATCACGGCTATCTTAACACTGACCATCACATCTTAACACTGACCATCACATCTTAACACTGACCATCACAGCTATCTTAACACTGACCATCACATCTTAACACTGACCATCACGGCTATCTTAACACTGACCATCACGGCTATCTTAACACTGACCATCACGGCTATCTTAACACTGACCAACACGACTATCTTAACACTGACCATCACATCTTAACACTGACCATCACGGCTATCTTAACACTGACCATCACGGCTATCTTAACACTGACCATCACGGCTATCTTAACACTGACCATCACAGCTATCTCAACACTGACCATCACGGCTATCTTAACACTGACCATCACGGCTATCTTAACACTGACCATCACGGCTATCTTAACACTGACCATCACGACTATCTTAACACTGACCATCACGGCTATCTTAACACTGACCGTATCTTAACACTGACCATCACGGCTATCTTAACACTGACCATCACGGCTATCTTAACACTGACCATCACCGTATCTTAACA